AAAAATATTCACATTCAACATTCCATACAGAAGTTAAGTCTCACAGAGCTTCTTCTGGTCAGAAAAATGCCCGTTAAGACAGAATGCCCATTTTTTTAACTTGCTGATTAAGGGCTGTTATATCAGAAATCAATGATACCACAATAATAGACTCAAAAACCTCAATAGATAAAAAAAAACTCATTCAGATGTAGGGCTGCACAATTAATAAAATTTCTAATTGCGATTACAGTTATGGATGCCACAATTATGTAATCGTTCAAAGTGGCAATTAATCATTCAAAGTCCACTTATGTTACTCTGTGTGCTCAAGATGCGTTTTTTTCCCCTTTTTTTTCTACATGTTATCTTAAGGGTTTTTCCATTGTTTTAGTTTTAGTATAACATTATAATACCATTCATATTTTTACTTTTTTTATCATTTAAAGAAGAAACCAATCCGTAGTATAGTTGACATTTGAGGCTTAATACTATAGAAAAGCACTAAAAGTTTTTGTTTATTTTCATATAGAAATACAGCATGCAGTTGCATCAAACGATGGTATAAACATTCAATGTAAATTGTGATAATCGTAAGTAATACTCACAATTACAATTTAAAAGGAATAATTGACAATTATTATTTTTGTTATAATCGTGCAGCCCTATTCAGATAATAGTGCAGCGGTCCATAAATAGCTGTACAGAAAACTCAGAAATGAATTGAAAATGTGTGTAGACTTCCCAAAAGTACTTAGCACTCATTATTTCACTGACAGAAAACTTAAGAGAAGAGTTTACTTGCAAGATTGGATGACATAATCGTCAAGACTCACCCAAACACGAAGAAGAGAAGTTTTGAAGACAATGCTGGTCTTTATTTCGTCATTAATTTAAATTTCTTTCAAGGAGAAATGAGTCTAGTATGGAGTATGAGTCTAGTAGGACAACATAAGAGGGTTGAGTTCAGTCTCAAGACTGAGACCAGAAGAGGGTCAAGTTTGAGTTAAGAGTGAGACCAGAAGAGGGTCGAGCTTGAGTTGAGACTGAGACCAGAAGAGGGTCAAGTTTGAGTTAAGAGTGAGACCAGAAGAGGGTCGAGTTTGAGTTAAGACCGAGACGGAGTTTTAGTTAAGACCGAGACCAGAAGAGGGTCGAGTTTGAGTTAAGACCGAGACCAGAAGAGGGTCGAGATTGAGTTAAGACAGAGACCAGAAGAGGTTCGAGTTTGAGTTAAGACCGAGACCAGAAGAGGGTCGAGTTTGAGTTAAGACCGAGACCAGAAAAAGTTTGACTTAAAATCAAGACAGAATCCACATGGCCTCGAGTCCATGACAGGGCCAACATGAAAACATGAAAAATATGATCTTGGTCTTGTCATTGATTTGGGAACTTGTGGACTTGTAGACTCAACCCATTTTTTGTGAATTCTGACTTTTTGGTATCTGTTCATTTATTACACAAAGTGACTTGCATTTCTTTCAAAGTAACTGATTTTTATCAGTTCTTGCATTCCCTGGGAATCAAACCCATGACCTTGGTATTGTTAGAGCTGTGCTCTACTGTTTGAGGCCTTTTCCTAACATAAAACCACTATATATTTGGAAGACTTACAGCACAGAAGTCATACGGACCACTTTTATGATTCTTTATGGTGTATTTTTGCAATTTTTGAAGCTCAAAATCTCTCTGTTCATTGTAATTGAGCATGGAAACATGCTTTGAAAAGTCTCCATTTGTGTTTTGTGTAAGAAAGAAAGTCATGAGGTTTATAAACACGAAACAAAGGGATTTTAACTTCTGTATAACATTAGAATCTCCTATATGAGTTGTATGTATATTCTTTTAATTTCCTCCTCTTTGTTTTTCTTCGCAGGTGCAGCTGCCCATGTCCACGCCGCCGGCACCAGCGTGTCGTACGCACTCTGAGAGTTCTGATGTCAGTTCTGAAGACGACAGTACGCTGGTCCTGTTGGCCCCCATCTCTCGTAGCCCCAGCATGTGTGCGAGTGTGTGTGTGTGTGTGTGTGTGTGAATACATACTGACTGTGCAAAAATGTACACTAATAAATATCATGACTGTTTGCCCTTTAAATATCAGGAGATGATAACATTTAAATCAGTCTCAGACTGACAGTATAAAGATTTTATCAGCACATCATTGCAAATATAAGAAAAAAAGGTCCTGATTTTGCATAGCTCACCCTTTATTCTCTTGCCATGTTTTCAACAGAACAGATAATCTGTAAACGGGCAGAACTATTATTTTACTGTCCTCGCTTGTCCTCTTTAATTATTTAATATTTGGCTAGAGAGCAAAGAACACCGAGTTTGTTTATAATCATTGGATTGTCTACTTAGATTGTCTTTTTAAAAATCAATTCAGAATCAAATGTTTTCCTGTAGTTTGATTTCATCATGAACTGTGAAGTACGGAAATGTGTCAAAAGGAACAAGGTGGACACGATGCTACCACAAAAAAAAAAGAGAAACCCAATTGTCACCATTTATTGAGTCCTGTGGAGTAACTCACAAAGTCAGTTTTTTTAATAATAATTGTCAGTTTCTTGGGGGACCTTAAAAATGTTTCTAATCAGGATCATTATCATGCTTATAGGTTTAGATGAGAGAGAGTTTGAGCAAAGATGATGTTACTGACTTTTCAATGGGATTTTTCTCTCAACACTCCTAATAATCCATTGGTCTGTTATGAGCTCTGAGCTCTTAGTCAGAGTTTGGAATGAGTCTTTGAAAACTCTTCCAGACCTGGAGGCGACTAGACATATTGTGAAAGCAATGGTTTCGGAAGTTCAAAAGCCAGAACCAGAGAGCAAAGGTGTCTTGTAATATATTGTGAGGTGTTTGACTCATTCATAATTGACAGCAAACATTGTGCAAATGAAGTTCATTTTGAAAGCATCTCCCTCAGACAAAAACAGTCACCTGGCAGCAACGTGATCTTACATAAGAGTTATTTATCCTTACACTCCAAAACCTTGCCAGGTGCAAGTTTACGTCATTCATGTAAATAAATACACAGAAATAAAATCAATCATTGTTTTGTCTGGCAGAATGTCGCTTACATAAATATATTTCTTATATATAATGCTAGTTTAAATTAAAAAAATCAACAGTGAAATTCTGATAAAAAGACAATAAAAATAAACATTTACAAACAAATCACATAAAACTGTTTTATCTTGACATCAGAGATTAGGCTAATAAGATACCCACAGCTTATAAAAGAGGTCAGTGTTTGGAAAAGTAGTCTTCATGATTGGTTTAAACGCCAGAGCTTGTTTTGTTCGCAAACACTTGCAAATGAATGCTCACTATCAAGGAACGTTTTCACTCTTTGCATCATAATGTACCAATTTACAACACAAAAGGCAATAACAACAAGGTGTTGTAAGCACTGCTTCCTGATATCAAATACCGAAGACCAAACAGCCTTGTGACTAATTCTTCCATATCACTTTTTTTAATTATTACAAATTATTTACCATTTTAATTAATTGGAAGGAAGACACAGGAAGGTCTGAGACCACAATGAAAATTTGGTCATTAAATCAAAAGATTCTTAAATTCATTGTACATTTTCAATCCAACCTTTCACTCAGATTCTGACAAAAATGAGGAAAATGCCAAGAACAGCATTTTCGCAAGTGCTCTCAAACTTTTGGACCCCAGAGCACATCTGAGGTTATGGATCGACAAACTCAACGACCTCTGAGTTTCACTGTAGAGCCCATGTCCCCTGCACCTCCTGGCACTCTAAGAAATTACTGCCTACAGATTAGATGGGATAAAAGAGGCCCCATGCTGACTGAAAGTGTGTGACAGTACAACTGAAGCATTAAGTGAATGTGATAGATTATAATCACACTGACTGGTTATGCACAGAATACAAACACATATTTCGCATATTACCTAGAAACTTCATAATCTTCTGAAACACAATCAGATACACACCCCACATACAGTAATAAGTAGTGAGACAGGCTTAGCAGCTCTGCCCACAAGTTTTCATTTACACTCATTTAATACGCTGCAATACAACAATTAATGCTTTGTTCAGCCGAGTCCAAAGTGCAACTCCAAGACAGACATTCCTGATGTAGGTTATACATTGTTAAAGGAGGACAAAGCAAAACTGCATTACATAATCATCTTACATCATCTCAAGTTCACACATTTGGAAAAACACATTGACATGATGCACAATGCACATACATATCGTTCTGCAGTGAACATTAGGCCTAAGCTAGGAGCAGCTAGGGGGAAAAACATATAGGCTAACCCATATTTTATACTTTAAGGAAACTATGGTGTAGAAATTCAGATTTAAAACAAACCTATAGAGTTCGCTGGAGCAAAAAAAAAAGTGTGACAACTAGCACTCTATGTATTGTTTTAAACTGGGTTTTTTATTTGTCAATTTGTCTTGGTTTTATTTCTAAACATGTAAACATAGAACGTACACAAAGCAGGGCCTTCTTCGTCTGCTCACGTAACGCCGGCGCCGCTTCTGATTGGCTGACGCGACGGACGGGGGCGTGGCCGAGTGAAGTGGGATATCGTGGGAGGGATATAAACTAGAAGCCCGGCTGCTCGCGCTAATATCATTTGAGGTCAAGTCTACACACAGGGCGTCCGCGACAGAGCATCACCACAAACATCTGTAAGCAGAGAGAGAAGCGGACACTTAACGCGCTACAGCCAGCGAGAGAAGCACGCAGATTTAGACAAGCGCAACGGCCAATCCAACATGAACGGGCAGATAAACGGTTTCCATAACTCCCTGATCGATGAAGACTGCTTTTTGTTCACGTCTGAGTCTGTCGGTGAAGGACACCCTGGTATGTAACTTATCGTATTCATATTATGTTCTGAATAAGATTTTAGCGTCACAAGATCGCGCAGAAGGTAAACAATCGGAAACGCGATTCCACAGCTAGCACGTGCTAATAATGCTAATACATATTTCACACTTCTATACACAAAACATTTGCAATTATAACATTTTATTATTCCGACATTATGTCAAGGGCGGGTAAAATGCGTTATGGTTTAATGTACGCTGACTTTAGTAAAGTGGGGTGTGTTTGTCTGCTCGGCCTCGCGCGGCGGAGGCACCGGACTTGAGGCCCAAAGCTAATCTCGCGAATGTAGGCCGTGAACGCTTTAAGGGCTTATTCATATTTTATTTTCGTTTTTATATAGCGTAATTAATTAATAGAATTTATGTCCGCTATATACTGGCTCCTAATAATTAGGCCTATTTTTATTTGAAGGTGGCCATGTTATCGGCGGCCTCGCGGAACATCCGTTCATCAGTGTTGAGCCGAGTCCGTGGGTTTCCCGCGTAATTACGCGCTACTTTAACACTGTACAACTGGGTTGTTTTTCGTGTCCGCGGGTTGAAGCGACCCAAAATAACGTAATGTTTAGCCCTTGGAATGCGCATTTTTACTCGGGACCCCCTCGAAACGCGATTGGGCTAGTTTTGAGTTATGATTGGACGGGTTTTGTTGCGGAGACCTGGCAACCCTGGTTCGTGTGCATTGCGGACTCGCTGCGCGTGTTGTTGTTCTGCCGGGTTGCGTGTTTCACACGTCAAGACGAGCCTCTAACTTATTCCAGCCCAAGAGTTATAAATAACTCTTCTCTTCATAATCCTCGTTCATTGGTCTGAGATCCGCGAGTATTAATGCCTGCGCGTGTCTGCACGAGTGCGTCGCCGCGTGTTCGTCAAACCGTAACTGTTAATTGTCCGGGGTTTTTAATTTTTTTGGTCGTCCATGTGCTTTGACAGCCCTGCACGTGGTGTAGCTAAACTTTCATTCTCGCTCAAGTAGCCGCGACTATTGCGTCAGCGCAGCTTTTAGGCCCAAAATATACAATACTTGAAAGCAAACGCCTGTAGCATCGCTTTCCAGAAGTTTAGGGGCGTTCACACCGCGCGCGTTATTTAGTGCAGTCACCACAAACATCTGTAAGCAGAGAGAGAAGCGGACACTTAACGCGCTACAGCCTGCGAGAGAAGCACGCAGATTTAGACAAGCGCAACGGCCAATCCAACATGAACGGGCAGATAAACGGTTTCCATAACTCCCTGATCGATGAAGACTGCTTTTTGTTCACGTCTGAGTCTGTCGGTGAAGGACACCCTGGTATGTATCGTATTCATATTATGTTCTGAATAAGATTTTAGCGTCACAAGATGCAGACAGGGCGTGATGTGGTATTTGCAGGAATATGTTTGCTTCACACACCTACATATTCACCTAGAAGTTAGTTATGTATCTGATTCAGTATGCACTTAAGTATGTAGTTTCAGATGTAAAGCATAGTTTTCTTTCCCGAACCTATGGTGCGTTCATGTCATGTCAGATTTACTAAAATAGAGTGCATTAGTGCCTGTGCACTTTCAGCAGCCCTGGTTCTGGTAGTGCTTTTCCCTTAGGGATTTTCTAAACCTTCATATAAGAGTTATCAGCCGTAAAACCAACCATATACTAGTTGAATCATAACATGACACTTTGATTTGAAGCAATGTAAAACTACATATTTTATTCCAATATATTCGTGCGCATGTATATAAATGCGTACACGCATTAATATTTAAGTCATTTGAGAGCATATGGAAACTGACTTATTCGCAGTGCTACATGGGAGTGGGCGGGTGCTAAAGTGCTCTTGGCGCTGGTTATGATTCTCTGATTAGTGGAGGTTTCTGTGCAGAATCATGGGTGATGTAGTTTTTCACGAGGAGTTGAACTGTTAAACTCTTAGTTGAAATAACATGGGCTAATTGCTTCAAGAAACATGCCATCGATTAACAACCTTGTAGCTTACAGTAGGTCGGTCTATAAATTGACATTAAAATCGATTCTTATGTGGGAAAAGAAAAGAATATAATTTTTACTTCCGGAACCAATTGTTGGGCTACATTACGAGATGATGGCAAGTCAGGGCTCACGTTTTTGAGGTTGTAAGAAGCACTTGCATCCTTGAAGAATTCGTAATTGCGGTGCTTCTGACATAATGTGAAAGCACTGTTATTGGAAAAAGGACTTTTGATTGGGCCTCAGGTGTTTACAGGGGGAGGGGCTTTCTTGCAAACAGGTTTTCTCATCATATACAATGCATCTATAATCTAAATCTAATTAGCATATTAATGTGTTTTTGGGGCAACATGTAATGAGAGTGTAATATTGAGAGTAATAATTGACAAGATTTTCATAATATATAATGTTTCATTGAAATATATTTTCTTTCCCTATTCATTTGTTGTGGCTCCCAAAATGCGTAATAAACATGCTTTTAGTCCCGGTGTCCTCATATGAGGACATGTATGAAATCAACCTCCTGTTTCGTAACAAAGTTATATTTTTATGTAGTGACATGGTTGTTATTGAAGTGCTTTCAGAGTTTTGCAAAATGCCAGTTACTTGTTACCCAGTTGCCAGGGTTGTTGTAGTTGTCTAAAGCCATCAAATACATTTTTGTTACTTGAAATAAAATGTTAACCAAAATAAAGTAAAATATACAGAATCCTAAGCTCATTTCAGCCAGTTGACAAGGAAACATTTCTCGCATTTAGTTTAACTTATTGTACTTATCAAAAACTAAAAATAAAATGCATTAGACATTTACAATAATAATAAACTAATAAAAAAGAATTTTTTAAATTAAAATGTAAATCTAAAAATAAAAGCTAATTATAAAATATTAATGAAAAATATAGCGTCTCAGTGATATTAAACTAGTATAAAGTGGCTGGTGATGTGAAATTCCTGTGACTTGTTTTTTTTGTGTATACAAACACATGGGCAATGATGTAATAAACAAAAATGCATGTGTATTGTATTAATTGTTCACATTCCACACGCACATATATGTATACGTGTATGTGTTTTTACAAGAATAACTTTTTTTTTTGTTTGTGAATGTATTGTAAATATGTAATAACTTACTATACCCAAGGGCCATGATTTTATAAAAATGTAACAAAGGTTTTATGTTCTATCACACCCTTGTCACAGGGAAATTGCTAGCCTGCTATTTTAACATGTTTGAGGTATGCATTGCAAATTCAAAATCCAGTTATGGCCATCCCTGGAGGCAGTGTTGCCAGTTGTGATACTTTGAGAGTCTTGATTAACCAGAATTCTGTGCTCTGATTGGCTGATTAAATGATTACACCACTCTTTTCTCTGTTCCAGATAAGATTTGTGACCAGATCAGTGACGCTGTGTTGGACGCCCACCTCAAACAAGATCCTGATGCCAAAGTAGCATGTGGTGAGTGTCAAATTATGCTTTCCTGCACTCTTTTCTCAATGCTTGCAACGTGAATCTCCTTACTGTGTGCTCTAACCCCTATCAATCTGTCCTGGCAGAGACTGTTGCCAAGACTGGAATGATTTTACTGGCGGGTGAGATCACCTCTCGTGCTGTTGTGGACTATCAGAAGGTTGTCAGGGACACCATCAAGCACATTGGATACGATGACTCCTCCAAAGGTATAAATGTCAGGGGAAAAAGTGCTGCTATGCTATTCTTATTGCCATAATACTTTCAAAACATACAACACTGCACAATGTGTACTGGTTTATGACTTTGAATTGACTGCCAGTTGGATTTAGGGTGGAATTAATCAGCCTTTTATTGTACTTTTAGGGTTTGACTATAAGACCTGCAATGTGCTGGTGGCTCTTGAGCAGCAGTC